TTCTCTCTTTTGGTTCAGACCCTGGAAGTCATTTTTTTTTTTATATCAAAAACATTATAAATAAATTTCAAAATTTGAAAAATTAATTAATTAATTGATAAAATATTGATTAATTTCTCATGTTAATATTTAAAAGTATGGAATTTTCCACTTTGGTTTAAAATTGAGCATTTTAAAACAGTGAATTTGCTAAACCATTTTTAACAGGTGAAATTTTCCCTGGGATTTATATACACACCTTTTGTAAAAAAAAAAGATCTAATTTAAATAAGTCTGGGCTCCTGTTCACAGAGAGCAAACATAAATCGTGTAAAGGATGTGATCAGTGACTAAAAACACATTTTACATATAGTCTGTAGGCATACAACGTCACACTATGTAAACTGATCTATGTATAGAACAAGTGATGGCTCGGTATGTGTTATTAGTAAACTTATATAGTAGAAAAAATATGTCCTAGACAAAAGTAGTTGGTATTTTTCATCTCTGCTACCTGGACATTAATCGGATAATATGACTCCGGCATGGCCTGGATAGAACGCAGCTCGTACATTTGTTTCGATAGTATACTATAATTTTTGAATCATAACATTACCCATTTTAATACATACAAAATGTACCTGTAATTGTGTTTTTTTTGATAATATACTTGAATCAGACTGATCCTTAAGTGTTCGCCATGCTTCTCAGGTGGCATATGACTAATAAGGGAAGGCAGAACAGTGAAGAAAGAAAGGAAACATTTAAGATCCCAAGTCCCAAGTGTGTTGCAATGGGAGCAGAAGATCTATTTTGGTCTGTTAAATGTCCCCCAAGTAGTAGACATGAAAGGAAATCCCCGATTCTTCAGCACCCGCACCCCCACCCCATGTTCATTGTATGTAAATTATAGTTTGACAGATTTTGACAAATTCGATGACTCAAGTAGAAAATTGTTTGAATCATGCAATCTTGAAAAAGAAAGTAAAGGGACATAACTCTTCAAGTAGACTCCAATTTAAGTAATTTGTGCTGATCTGGCAGATCTGTCAATTCAAGATCTATCTGTACACCAAATTCAAGAAGAATTACACATTATTATATGTTTCGCATGTCTGAAATTGTCTGACATTGTCAGGAAGAAAATCTACATTTTAAAGAAAGTAGTAGCTATGGGAGCACCCTATATATGTTATACATAAACATTATTGGTACCTTGCAAAACAATAAGCAAATTTCGCAAAACCACCAATTCTCAAAAATCACCTAAACATGACATATTTTATCTAAACGGAAACTTGGAATTTATAAAAGTAACAAACTATATCCGATAAATAACAAAAAGAAATGTGAGGAAATCATGTGAGGAACACAACTCACAGAAATATTATCCAAAGGAAGACAATCAATCATAACTGCACAAAAAACAGAGAGTATGAGTATTACTTGAAACAAATTTTAAATTATATAAGAAATAATTATCAGGGACACCACCGAAATGAAAATTAATTGATTGATATAACAGTCGAGATGCATTAAAAATCCTCCCCAAACGGAAAGTAAAACAAACATTACAGTAAAATGTTCAAACCTAGCCTGCATGGTGTAAAGTTTCACCATTTGACCTTTTGTATCTTTCAGCTTTCTTGGCGAATTTTTCCGCATTGTTAAATATCTCCCATTCTCATCAGATGTATATGAAGTGCATAACAAATGGAAAAATAAAAATATGAATGATAAACTGCCAGAATAGGATGTATAGGAAAGCAAACAAAGGGGCACAACTCTTCGTGAAAATCCAGCCCTTACTTTCTTCTATTTTTAGGATGCTGCTACACCTAAGTCAAATAACTTTGGCTACTTCAACTTCTGACAGGTCAATGACCCTTGATGATACTTATTTAGCCGGCAAAAGTCAGACCAAAAAATACTGCTGTACAATTTTATGTCAACTTATGTATCAGTGGATTTGAACACCATTGGAAATATGAATGTTGACCAGAAATATTTTAACATTTAAGCGACCACATATATATATTTTTTACAATCCTTTTAATAACAGATTTAGGGAATGAAGTTTGTTGATGTTTAGTTGATCGAAGAGATAAATGTATAACATTTTTTTAAACACAGTATTCGGTTATCAGCATCTTGTGAGGAAACTCCATGTATGGTAGCAGAAAAATGTCAACAAATGATATGAAGAGTAGTGCAGTTGATATAGTTCAGTTCCTGCTATATATTTGTAGTAAAGTTGTCAAAGAATCAGATATTTGGCAGACCTTTCTTATACATATGACTTAAAAGTGGTTGCAAAACCCAAAAAACAAACTGATTCCTATCCCTTATAAAGAGAACAGTGTGGAAATATAGATGAACTGAAGGTATTGAAAATAACGTCAGGTAATTCGGGTAAAACAGACCTCCATCATGATTTTACATATTCATAATGTGTTTATACAGCCTCCCTTAAGAAAAAACACATTCCATACATGTTTTCAGCCTGTTTTTGTTGTCATTACTGGCCAGCCTGTAACATCTCATCTTTGCTAGTCAAGCGTTCATTTTGTATTCACATATTCATGTATTCAACCTTATCGGATTTAGCCTTGTTCTCTAAGCTTTCAAATTATTGAACCTGGCACAGGGATTTGGCACAAATTACCATCCTATGGTCCACATATTTTTTATATCATACATTATATAATACACATATGTGAACTGAGGGTTAGAAATTAATATACCAAGTTCCTGTGCATGTAAATAATAATGGCGGCGCCCAGTACCAAGTTCGACTATGTCATGATTTATGTATTAAAACAAAGGAGGACAATACTGAAAGAAACATTTTCTGTATATGATCAGTTGGTATAGATAATTGGCCATATTCTAACTGTAAATGATAACCAAGGGAAACACATAGGCGACCAGTACAGAAACAATCTTGAAAGTTTAAAGTTTTGATAGTAAAGTGTCTATGCAAGGTGGCAGGGGAGTGAAATTAAACACAAGGCTAAATCTGTCAAGGTTGAATAGTACAAATTTAAATTATGAACCCTTGGCTATTGAAGATGGTGAGATAACGAGGTTCGATCGTAAAATCAGATGTGTATTCAGCAGTAGGCTCCAGTGAAATTACACTATAAAGTCAGCATCAGTCCTGCGCTATCACAAGGAGACAAACATGAACATACCACAGACTCCCACGCATGCATCTAGCAAATGGGGTAGGCCGTCCTTAAATGACCATGTATAGCTGTTGATAGGACGTACATTAAACAACACTAAATCTAACCTGAAGTTCATTTTGACATAAAGATTTTATTTATTTGGATAATGTCATGGAAATGATGACTTGTTATTTTAAACAAAAGATTTGTTAAGTTCAGCTTGCATGCTCTGTATGAATGTTATTTTAATAACATTGTACCCATATGAATCCATGATTGTCGTTAAGTGGTGCTTTATTTGAATTTAATACATTTGATGCTCTATTACCTGACCTTTGTATTAATACCGAGACAATTACAATACTTTGGTATAACTGTTTATATATTGTGTACATAGTTTAAGCGTCTGCGAGACCAGCTGTTCTAACTTACAAACGTCCGGGTGACGAGAAAGAACATCAGAGGAATGTTTCTGACTTTTGACAGGAGCTGTAGGCAATTCACACTTTTCAACTTGTACTATTCTTCTTTTTGGATAACGATGCTTTAACTTGTAAGCGAAAATACATCACTGGCGTCACGAGCATCAAATGTGCTTCCGGTTATGTCATAAAATCCGAAATCTTTTTGATATTCATTAATTAAAGATAGTTTAAAGAATAAACGAGTTAATAAAACAAATATCAATACATTGTAAAAATTATTTTCTTGAATGTTCGCGAAGCAGACGACGTTTGATCATAATCTCGAAACTAGAACATTTTTTCAAATAAAATTTGTTTTAACATTTGAAAGAAAAAGTTTGAAGGGGAAAAAATCAGTTTGTTCTTTTATGAATTAATGAAAGTGATACAAAGAAGAAATATAGTAAATAATTGATAGTAAATTTATCAAAAACATCATCCTTATAGAGTATGTTCTGGACATGATCGTTTAGAAGCTTTGCAATACTTCCAACTCGTTCAAACGCGCATCAGCCCGAGATTAGACCCTGTTTACAAAATGGCGACTGAAAGTAGCAAGGCGGTTTACATTGGAACTTCAATTGTGAATATTTCGGCAAGTAAACATTGTTCACAAAGCCCATGTGGTCTGTTCATCTAATTTAGTCAAGATGTACTCAGATCAGTCGTTGTTTAGTCGCTATGATCATTCACAAAAAATATAAACTTATTGTAATTAGAGTGTGCAGTTACAATACAGTATAAACTATGAAGTTTTAATGGTGTCTCGTGACAGTCATGTGACAGCCTAGGTACGTCAACAATGGCACAGATGGCCGGCTAGTGCAAGAGCAGCATTAAGTTGCAAAGGCGTGTTAAACATATTTAAAAAGGCATAACCGCAAGTCAACTGTTTCATTGCAGGGATGGAGCAAGAGCCATGTATAATACCAGTTCAAGCCAAGCATTTCCTTCATGGGGCTATCAATTCCATTGCAAAGGTGACGAAAACGTGTTATCCGAGTGCAACACGAGTTCTCTGTCTTCACCAATATGTTACAGAGCTGGAGTCAAATGTTCCGAACAAAAAGGTACTCTATCAGTTTCGTATATATAGCGATAGCTGTTAGATATTCAGAAAGCAACATTCCATGTAGAAACAAAAAAACTTTTTAAAAAAGATAGCATTTTATCTATTAAACATTAGATGTTTTGGTTGGACACGTACAATAATGCTCAGGATCATTCCACTATCTTCGCTAATACATGATATATAATGCAAATATCGTGTTCCGTCAGTTTGTACTTACTACTATTGAATGATGTTCAAAAATATTCTATGAAATGCCATATAAAATTGAATAATTTCCCTCTCATTTTTTCCAGTTGTTCCAGATTTCTTCTTACAACGAACAATGAAAGGGATTGTCAAGACTAACCCATTTACGATGAGTGGTTATTTTAATGTGAATAACCCATGTAAAATTAACAGTGATGTGGTATATGATTCTGTTAACGACCAGTTCATTTCCTTCCTATCCGGATCTCTTTGGGGCTGTCGATGGGGCGACGAAAATAAAGAGATCCGATCAAACAGTGAGTAGCAAACGTTGATATAACACAATCACCAGAAATACGGAGACATGATATGCTTAATAGAAAATATCGATGTCAGAAGCAATTAACATCAACCGCTTTTTCTGTACCACGAATAAAATTCAGTGTCTGACGTGTTCCAAAAGAATATGTTCAGAAAAAAACCTGTTTAACGTTCAAAATGTACAGCTTTTGGCTACAATGGATACTTGTACGAAAACTAGTGCTCATGTAAATCACGTAGAATAAATTCCAACTGCAGGTAACCTGCAAACCTTTGGTGACTCATAGTGCACCAGCAAGACAAACCACACATTTACTTAAAATAATCACTAGAAAGGACGGAAACGACCGCTCAATGAGTAAAGGTAGATTATGCTTATTTGTGTACATGGCTTCGACACCCATGATCTTCCGTTACAAATGAAATTATATAAATAGATTTTCAAACATATATATTCCAGTAACTTGCAATCTCTTTCTATTATCATATTTTAGCTATTTCGTGGAGTTATCCGGCTTTGGACTCAGAAGATCGACTTTTGTTTGGCTATTGGGACAATTGTATTGTATCCCTGAGATTAGACGATGCTTCTGCAGAACCTGTTGTTGTAGTCAATGGAACAACCGTTGAGAATGAACTTGTTTTAGATACAGAGAGAAAGTGAGTAGGAGACTAGTTCGTTTATTCAAACATTTTGTAAGTTCGATATATTGTATTATTAGGACATGCAGTGTGAACTTTTCTACATTTTCTACAATTTTTCAGTGAAATTTATTGGTGGACACATCTAAATGACAAAGACCACCGTATCAACAGAGTTAGTTACAATGGTGATTCGGAGATTCAGGTTTGGGGATCATCCAGCCCTCTCAAAATGATTACTTTTCAAGGTTTGTATATTTCATGTTAATTGAAACAAACAAAATGCTGCACCTATTATGGACACCCTGACGTTATCGTCATTATTTGCATTTTATTTAAATGTTGGTTCAAATGTTGGAATTCATTCCCACAACCTTAATAACTCTACCACCATGCTGATATTTGATTTCCTACAGGGGGAGGATGGGGTTGGTAAACATTGGTTTAGATTGGCTCAGTATTGTTTAACGTCCTTTCAACAGCTATGGTCATTTAAGAACGGTTGGTCAACATTGATGAATTGCTATCAAAGCAAAAGTCCCAAAGTAAATGTTAAGTAAGAGGTGCTGAAACTCCATAATGTATCTTCTGTGATTTTACTGTGATGCTATAACGCAACACGATTACATTGCCGGAAAGATGTAGAACATTGAAATATGAAATAATAACATTGATCATGTTGTTTATTGTTATGTCAATATTATCTGGTTAAGATTGTTGCATAATTGTTACAGTTCACGCCAATAATAATAATTCGAAGTTGTTATATACCGCTTTATCACTAGACTACCGTGCCTTCTTTATTTTGAACTAAGAAAAATGTTTTTGTGTTGGTTGTTCCCAAGTGTTCAAATATTTACAAAGGGAAGTCAAAAGTGAAAAAATGCTATTGACGTTTCAGCTCACCTGGCACGAAGGTATTTTTTATATGACATTTGTTATTTTGATGAGTCGTTAATAATCCAATAACTAGCTTTCTTACCCTATTAACATATCAATAAACTATCTTAAAAGTACTTGTAATTGGCATTAATCCTCGATGCAGGTTATGCAAAACACGCAGTCCTTACATATTTGGCCATTCACAAGGTTCTGTATACGCAACAGAATCTAGCTTTTCATATAGTATAGTTTTGTACAGTACTAAGCACTGCAGGTTCGGGATAAGAATAATCTTCCGATGGCATGGCGTAAAAGGCGACCTGCTGAATCGAGGATTATACTGTCTTCTACTAAGGAAACATTGACGAAACAAAAACAAAACAACAAGAGAAGTGTTCACAAAACCATAATTCGAACTCGAAATCGATAAAACTAGGGCTATATATGTACGAAAGTATGTATGAAGAACCTTAGGTACAAGGAGAAGGCAACAGGTGGTCCTGAAGTATGAGCGTCAGAAAGATAAAAAAAACTATGTTAATCTAAGACGATTACAAGTAATGTCACGTCTTCACATCGAAAACTTCGGTAGTGACAACAAAACCACAAGGTATTTTATTGATACTAATAAAACAGATTGACATTCATATAACATACAAAATAGCATACTTTTCGTACAAGATCCTGATAGCGACCATAAAACGTGATCTGCTGCTCCTAATGCAACATGTGTAATCTTGATATTTTCTTCCTTCTTTCTAAAATCCTTTTCTCTTCTTGTGCCTTGCTTGACAAAACTTCACCTTTTACTTCGTTTAGTGTTGAACTTCGCCCAAGTGGGGTAAGTATTGGGTTCTGTCCCCCAGGCCGGGGCATTCAAAGTCATTAAAAAAATGGTTATTCTCTGCTTAACATTCGGCATTTAGGGTTATCGCAACCACTGGTTAACCCGTTGTCAATATAATGTGACCGAGTAGAATACTGTGCTGGGTACCTTTGGCGGCATGGTATTTCAGTGAGATAGCACTATAAAGTTAGCTTCAGATCCGAGTTGAAGCTCATGCAATACAAGCAAACAACCAGAGCATGCATAATGTTCCTCTTACTATGATGATTTATAATGTAAAAATAATTGAATATATTTGTGTTTTATGCAGGTGATAGTTTATTCTACGTAGATCCGCGACATCCGGGAGTTTTCAGAAAACATCACAACTTAAGATCTACTTGGCTTCTGTACAAGCAATTTGGTGCATTAAGTGACAAATGCACAAAACTGTATGCAGACCACGAATGGATTTACTGTACAGAATATAAAAGAATGTGAGGAAAATTTACTATCAACTTGTATATTTTGTAAGAACATGTTATAAATTTGTGTTTTGTGTAAACAGAACTCTATTCCATTTAAACTCGCTTGGCACGACTTGTAAGCCATCTTTTGGAATGGTGCGACGTTTTACACATGTCTTTATACATTCTGTCCTCCAAAATAGCATATTTAAGAGCAACACATGTTCATAATATTAAGTCTGTAGCTACCTAGAATGGGGTGCTATAAAGTGTCGTAAAAAATAACCTGTAGCAAAACAGGTTAGCTAATTGATGATCAATGGATTTGATCATTACAAATTATTTGTAATCATTATTAATGCCGTTTCTTCATCATTGCATCCTGCTATCATTATCCCATGTATACAATATTTAAAATTGGCATTTGATGTCCATAATTCATTTCTCCTTTTCAATCTTGCAAGTATGATTGTCTCTTTAATGTAAATATCATATCAATGTATTTTGAAATCTGAATATTTTATATCAACATAAACTGCGCATATCTTTTTAGGTCACCTAAGACAGTCTCAAGTGACCTATTGTGATCGCCGTTTGTCCGGCGTCGTGCGTCCGTAAACAATTTACATTTTCGACTTCTTCTCAAAAAAACAATTTCAATGAAATTTTGAGGAAACCTTGCATGGTCAAAGGTCAACAAAAATTGTGAATTATATGGTCCCTAGCCCCAAGGGGCCTGCTAGACGTGGCCAAAAGGGTCAATTTGACTAAAATATTAAAAATCTTCTTCTCAAGATCCAGATATGGTAGAATCAAATGCTCTTTATAGATGGAACGGTCTTAAGGTGCTTTACCAAAATGGTGAATTTCATGACCCTGTGGTGTCACGTTTCTTCGTACGGGGAGGGAATAAACTTTACTATGGTTTATATAGGGAAATCACATTTTGGACCAACATTTGTTTTATTTCCAATTGAAGCAATTCAATTTATCAGTATCGGGTAGCAGTTTGATAGTATGCACATATCAGCCCTGACTAACCCCAAAGGGCAGATGTTTTGGGCGAGAAAGGGTTGAATTGACTGAAATTTCAAAAATCTTCTGCTCAACACTCAGTTATGGTAGAATCAAATACCGTTCATAGATAGAAGGGTCTTAAGGTGCTTTACCGCAATTGTGAATTTCATGACCCTGTGGTGTCACGTTTCCCCATAGGGAGGGGATAAACTTTACTATAGATGTTTTGGGCGAGAAAGGGTTGAATTGACTGAAATTTCAAAAATCTTCTGCTCAAGACTCAGCTATGGTAAAATAAAATACCGTTCATAGATAGAAGGGTTTTAAGGTGTTTTACCGCAGTTGTAAATTTCATGACCCTGTGGTGTCACGTTTCCCCATAGGGAGGGGATAAACTTTACTATGGTTTATATAGAGAAAATCACATTTTGGACCAACATTTGTTTAATTTCAATTGGAATTAATTCAATCCTGGTTAGCATTATCCGTATTGGATAGCAGTTTGCTAGTATGCACATTTCAGACCTGACTGACCCCCAGGGGCTGATGGGTAGGGCCAGAAGGGTTGAATTGACTGAAATTTCAAAAATTCTCTTCTCAAGACCCAGATATGATAGAATCAAATACTCTTTATAGATGGTAGGGTCCTAAGGTTCTGTACCAACATTTTGAATTTCATGACCCTGGGGTCTCACGTTTCCCCCTCGGGAGGGGGTAAACTATACTATAGTTTAATTGTGAATTATATGGTCCCCAGCTCCCAGGAGCCTGAGGGGCGGGGCCAAAAAGGTGGAAATTGACTAATATTTCAAAAATCTTCTCAAGATCCAAATATGGTAGAATCAAATACTTTTCATAGATGGAAGGGTCTTAAGGTGCTTTACCATAATTCAGCTGACTGACAGAACCACTATTTGTACATAGTACATATACTACCCGATCTTTCACACTACTTTGGCATTATATGTAGTTCAAGTTACCTTTGTTACAAAATGATTTCTTTTTCATTTGGCAACATCGATAAAATCAGTTTTTACATAACTCAGGTGACCGTTAAGGCCCATGGGCCTTTTATTTATGAGTTGGTGCCTAAGGTCAGACTTGATAGCTTGTTATCTTTTCAGAAGATGCCTCAATGTAAATTTAATCTTTCCCCTAGTAGAGAGCTGCCTCACCTCTGGGCAACTCAATTTCGTTTTGTAACAGTCTGCCTACACGTTTAATATCGATTAGTTTTCCGCCGTTCGTCATTAATGATTTTTTTTTTATGTTGGCGGAATATTTATAATCAATCGGTGTCATTGTATTACAATGTTATCCTTGCTATTGTTAAACGTTTGCATTAAAGGGGAATTCTGCGCTTACAAAAGGATGGAAAAGGGGGCAATTTTTTTGGTCCATTAGAGTTTACCCGGACAGCATTTCGGGCAGAAATTCTCTACTACCACAGTCCAGGATCATTGTGTAAGTTTTCTGATTATTTTACCTACATTGGAAACGGTGATGCATCTACACTGTTATGGATAGCTTTTGGTTATCTGTCCGTGCGGAACGTAATTGCACTAAAGGACAGGGCAGTTTAGAGAATATGATACATGAACTAGAATTATTACATTTTTTCATGTCCTAAGTAAATGATTCTTCGTATTTTAAACTTTTAATATAAGATGAGCGTTGCACTCATTACCGTTAATTTGTTCCCTAAGTTAATATAACTTTACTACATGTCCCATTTTGCCCTGTGCTCCTCATGAAAATAGTTTGATTTTTGTACACCTACCTGTATGCCATTAGATCCTGTTATGTATGAAACTAGTCCGTTAAATGTAAAACAAAAGTGTTTTCATATGTCTTGTGGAATGAAAAATGGAAGTAGGGATGATTTTCTTGTTTGAATGTAATCACTGTGATATTGTTTTCAATCCTCACTTAAGAAAAATACCTACCTTATCAATATGCATAGCGATGACTTCTCCGCTACAAAACTATATAAAACGTGTGTATCATAACGCATGTTAACCTGGATGTTGATATTCAATTGTATTATGTAGTGAATTACATGTATTTTAATTTATACAAGAAACTTAAAACTCTTCTTTGATATATAGCCTACCCTGATCTAATTACAGTAGTTAAGCTATAAGCCACATTTATTATAGACCGTTTTCACTTGTAACTATTTTTAAATGTTTGTTCATATAAATTGGACTAACCGATTGATATATCGCCTTCGGACGAGGTAAGTAAAAATGGGAACACAAAGACATGAAATAATTAAAGTAAGTACGTGTGGTTGTGAGTCGGTAGAATAGACGAGATGTACCTCTATGATTGGTAAGTAACCACTATCATGTGTGTGTTCTAGTGTTCATGTGAATATTCATGTCATGGTGTTTTTTTCGCTGCAACATGAAAACATTACCAGGAGTATAGTTCATAGAAGAAAATAAGTTGTCAGTTTTATGTATTAAAAACTAGTGTTTAGGTATCTATGTTCCCTGTTTAACAAAAGCAACGGATGGAATTTAACTGCATGGCAAATATTTAAAAAAAAAATATATTTTTTTTTAAATATTTTTTTATTTTAATAATTTAAACATATTAAAAACTATTTGAACTAAAAACGTAAAAATTGTGAAATAATATATTACGTTCAGTTTGTACAAATATACATTAAAATAATGTAAATTATAATTGCATGTATCTATCGTCGAAACTGGAGGAGACTGACCATGTTATCATGGAGCTTATGATAACAACATTTCTACACTATTCGGAACCTCTCTGAAACAACGTTCACAGACTATTTGGAGCTTTTTCTGAAACAACGTTCCTAGACTATTCGCAACCTTTCTGAAACAACGTTGAGCCTAGACCAATCGGAACCTCTCTGAAACAACGTTTCACGCTTATGCTTTGTTTGGTTTGTATGATTTAATTACATGTTGCTTTGCATTTGCCATATTTCCTACGTAATATGTTTGCATTATAGACGCTAATGACGTAATGGTTGCAACTACATCATAAATCTCATTACTAACCATGTCCAGTAAATACTAAAATGTCTATACAAATAATAATGATGAATTACAAAACAAAAACCCTTAGCGTTAACAGAACTGTTGTTCGAACTAAAACATATGAACCACCAACCAGGTAATGCACAGCTAATCAAGGTGTAATATCGATATTAGTACAGCCACGATCACTTCTCCAGTGAAGAACCACCAACCAAGTAATGTACAGCTAATCAAGGTGTAATACCGATATTAGTACAGCCACGATCACTTCTCCAGTGAAGAACCACCAACAAGGTAATGTACAGCTAATCAAGGTGTAATACCGATATTAGTACAGCCACGATCACTTCTCCATTGAAGAACCACCAACCAGGTAATGCACAGCTAGTCAAGGTGTAATACCGATATTAGTACAGCCACAATCACTTATCAAGTGAAGAACCCCAACCAGGTAATGCACAGCTAATCAAGGTGTAATATCGATATTAGACGCTAATGACGGTTGCTAATACATCATACATCTCATTACTTACCATGTCCAGTATATTCTAGAATGTGTACTCGTCTATACAAATAATGATGATGAATTACAAAACAAAACCCTTAGCGTTAACAGAACTGTTATTCGAACGCCTACATATGTGTTCACGCAATAAGGTTGTTGACTTGTTCAAGGTTCAGCAGCTTAAATCGTACGATGACGTCTTCCGTGGATGATCGGACAACTGCGCTTTACCTTCTTGCTTGACTATTATAAACTGGAAACGACAGCATCACACCTTATCAGGTATGTATTACTTATCAATACAAATAGTAAGAAAGAAATTAGATATATGAGAATCTTGTTTGTAGATACATAAACAAAGAAACTTACTCTACACTATATGCCTCTATAATTACAATATGTTTTCGAAAATTATTTACGCTTTTGTCGACACTTCGGTATTCATCTGTTTTGTTTGAAGGGCGATATAAGTGTCTTTTGGTTTAAAAGCGAGTTTTATAGAAAATTGTTATTTGAATTTTTGAATATAAAACAAGAGACGAGGCCCACCTGGTATAAATTTCACACTTGTTATCTTAAAAGTGGACTAAAATACAACTACAAGCAGAATATCTGTGTTTGATTAATAAGAACCTATTGACATATTTAAACATATGACACCCGTGACCTTGAATGTCAAACAAGGACATTAGGTTGAACAGAATTTATAGTCTTCCAACCTAGATTGCTTCTAGCAAAATATCATTACCCTGGACTTTTGGGTTATACAGAACAAATCATATACTGACCACTATGACCTTGCATATGGGCGAAGGTTATCTATTTGAACAAACTTGGTAACCCTTCATTCGTGCATGTTAATGGCCAAATGTCATCACCCTATAATCTTCTTGGTTATTCAGAAGAAATTGTTTAAAGGTTTTCAACATATTTGACCCCAGTGACCTTGAATATGATTCAAGGTCATTCATTTGAACAAACTTAGTAGTCCTTCATCCCACCATGTTAATGGCCAAATATCATCACCCTAGACCTCTCGGGTATTCAGAGGAAGTTGCATAAGGTTTTAAACATATTTGACCCCAGTTACCTTGAATATGATTCAAGGTCATTCATTTAAACAAGTTTGGTAGCCCTTCATTTCAGCATGTTACTGGCCAAATATCATCACCATAGGCCTCTTAGTTATTCAGAAGAAGTTGTTTAAGATTTTAAACATAGTTGACCACAGTTACCTTGAATATGATTCAACATGATCACTTCACATGGCACACATCCAATACAGCAGCGTAATAAGGCCTACTAAAATAGCGAAACTCAAACTTGTGGTCATAAAACTGTTTCCGATTTCTTCATAGATGCTGTGGTTCTTTGTTTGAAGGACTGTTAGCTATCCCGGACAGTGATTTACCGTTGCTGCACGTATACCGTCCTGGACTGCACCAGACATGTACCCGTACCATTCTCTGGCGATCTCAGAGCCGGCAATGTGTAACATGAATAAAAAAATAACGAATTCGTATTAATATTAAATAACACATAATAAACAAACCTTCATTGTGATGATTGATATACCAATTCTTCTGATTAACAATTTGCTAAATTAATAAATAATCGACAGAAATAAAAACAATGAAACACTTGTTTGACTTTTTTTTACATATATCCAAGCAAAGTTTTCAATGCTACACCATTCGGTAACGAATAGTATTACTCTGTGAGCACATCAGATGTTGGCTGGTTGCAAAGGCCCTATAACCACGGAAAATAATTTGTGAACCGCTTTGAGACGACCTACGAACTAGGTTGTGATAAAGCGGTATATAAAAACCTCGAGTTATTATTATTATCAGAAATCTGCCCAGTGTGTGAGCAACAATAAGAGCATATGATTGTATTCAATACAACTTATTAAGCTGCAGTTAAACATCGAATATTAGTGCTTCACATCCCTTTTTCAGGACCCCATACGTCTGCAGGTTTCGGAACATTCTATCCTATTGCACGTTATTGGAAAAGGCGATTAATTAGGGGTCCCTGCATAATCTGAATTTTTTAATGTTTCTTCTGCTTAGATGAAAATAGAAAAAAAAATTTGTTCCGCTGCCCCTTTTAGTCGCTTAAAACAATTTAGCCAAATTTCCCCCTTTTTGCCCCGCCCCTCAGCCCCCTGGGTGGTCAACCCCACCATTTGTACAATTTTGAATCCCCAATACCTAGGGAAGCTTCCAGTCAAATTTAGTTCAATTCCAATAAGTGGTTAAGAAGAAGAAGTCGTT